TCTACTGTGGTTGACTTTTTTATGTTGAACTGTTGAAAAGGTAGCAGCTGGGGTGGGGATGAGATAATTTAGGGGCATGAAAACTTTTTGTAAACCAAAGGGGAACCCAGAGCAATAGTTTAGGAATCACTATAATATGTAATGCAAAAATGTTGAGAATTATGAACCACCCTATATTGTTCTTTTGGACCACACAATTCATCAGGGTTTATACAGGAGGAACTCTAATTTAATGCTTTTTAATGATATACACGGCCAAATCCTTCGTAATCTTTACCATCGACAGGCTGCAGCCATGTCCCGAATTTCTCGTTTTCCAGCCATCTATGTTAAAATTTGCATTTTCCCATTCTCTTGCTTTATCTGTGCTGCGAGCTTCTGTTCCGAACATATGGCTTTAGGATCAACCAGGAGTAGTTCCACGCGGAACCAGTTAAATCTGATATATCTGACAATTTTTTTTTATACATAAGCATTTTAAATGCCATGATAATCACATTTAATAAAATTTGATGCCAATTAAGGCATTAATTTAAAAAAATAATAATAAAATGACTTAATGATTTTTAATGACCCGCAGAAACCCTGATTATGTATTGCTTTGTGCTGATTTGAATTGCTTAATACTGAGTAATGAATACAACCCAAATGATTACGCCTGTAAGAACACATAAATGAAAGGAGGAATGGAAAAAGTGACACAAAGAGAGAGCAACGAGTAAATCAAAGCATCGTCTCTACTCTGATGGCTGTCTGAGGTAAACAAGCTGAACTAGATAGCATGTAATGAGGAGGGGAACAGGAAGCCTTCGCCAGTCTAAATTAGCTTGCAGTGGTCCTCTGTGACAGTCAAATAGAGCTGGTATAGCAGAAGTCGCATCACTGTGGGTTTATATTGGATTTCCTTCAACTTTCAACCCAAAGCTCTGATATAAACCTCTTGCTCTAAGGTCAGGCTGACAACATGGAAAAGAAAAATGTTCTTCATAACACTCTAATCTGACCTCCTCACTGCCCACATTAAAAGCTTTAAATTACATCTGGAATAATCACACCTCATAAAGTACAGCAGGTTCGAAAGAAGGTGGCAATGTTTTGAGATGAGAACATTAATATATATTCATTGAGAAGAATAAAAACGGGAAAACCCAGAGAGAAACTCAACATGGGAGGTGAAAACCAATCTATATCAAAGCGGACAGACAGAAATGTCTTTCTAAATTAGGAAATTGTCCCACTTGACACTTGAGTCGAAGCCTCATCTTCATCGCTGATAATGGGCTCCCATACTGACCCGTCACTCTTATTCTCCCACACAGCTGCACAGCCCTTATTACTCCTCTGCTGATCCATCCATCTCCCCTCTTTTCCCACAGCTACAGTTATTTTCACACCCTCCTGTGCCACTTGGTGTGTCTGTCCAAGAATAAGCTGTGCCTTTGAGGCTTGTTGTGTCATGAGGTGGACTCCCTGCTGATCATCCAGTCTGCACTCATGGAGATTTTAGTTCTAGACACCAGTTTAGGTTCTTGTGACTAACGAATAAAAGAAAGATAGGATGTATTTTGTAAAATTCTAATAAAATACAAAGTCTGTAGTTGGAGTATGATGGTGTATTAAAGTTTAAGGGGTGTGAACAATTTTGCAATGGCCTGTTAGTAGAAATAAAACCCCAACAAGAGCTTGCAATACCGATCTATAAAATTTTCTCCCTTCATTCCACTTTTCATGGAAAAAAACAAGGGCTTCTCAATGGACCCGTCTGTTAAACTTTTCAAGCTTGCTCACTACATTGTCATTGGTCAGAACAGAAATAAGTCAACGTTTCTTAAATGAAATGTATTTACCCTTAATTTGAGCAAGTTAATAAAATGATTTGTCAATGGAATGAGTATACTTACTTTAAACATTAGATAATTACATAATATGCACTTGAAATAAGAATGCAATTGTTTTTGTTCTTATTTGAAATGTAAATTGTTTTGCTCCATTGGCAAAGTGCCTTACTTACCTCCTTAATTAGAGAACAAATGCTCTTATTTAAAAAAGAAAAATGACTTATTTTAAGAAAAAAAATGACTTATTTAGATTTTTCAAATTTTTCCATTGTGATGAGTCTGCATGCAGGCAGGAGATGGACAAACAGGTCCTCAGCTGAACTCAAAACCACTTGGAACTAGACCCACTGGAGAGTGGGGAGATCATAGTGAACCTTTAGGCAACATTCACACTGCAGGCCGCAATGCTCAATTCCGATGTTTTTGTGAAATCCAATTCTTTTACATGGTTGTTCACATTTCAAAGTAAATGCAACCTGTATATGATATCCTGTGTGAACCACATTCACACAACTTAAGTGCCCCGCATGAGCAGTAGAAGACACAATGATGTCACAAGTAGGCGTGCTCCGTGGTTACGAAAGTAAACATATAGTAGTGCTGAAGTGCATCTAGCGATGCTTAATATATTTCTCAAACTCAGCCAGTCCTTAATAATGACATTTTTTCAAGACTGATCTCTGAATTATAGTCCTCCATGGTTTTTCTTCCCACCTTTGTGTAGCAAGATGCAGAATAGTGACCTTTGTTGGGTATTAATGATGTTCAGGTCAGATGAATGCATCCTGGCCATTCAGACAGGTCGCATTTGAAAAGACCAGATTAGTATCGGATTCAGGACCACATCGCCCAGTGGCCTGGGTTGCATTGGAAAAAAATTGTATCTGTGTTGTTCAGACTGCCATGAAAAGATCAGATAAGGTCACATATGGGCAATAAAATGTGATTTGGGTCACTTTAGGCAGCAGTGTGAAGGTAGCTTTAGAGTCTCCCCTCACATCCTAAACATCAGTTTGGACTGTGATAACCCTTTGGTTCCAAGGAACAACCTTTTCTTGAGATGACCGGCGAACATAGAGAAGGTGCCAAACGAAGCCAAGCAGAGACTGTACTTCCTACAACAACTGAGTTGGTAAGGCATAAAGACACATCTTATGATTTAGTCTGTCCTGAGGTCAATTGCATCTCTAGAGAGAATAATTGGTGTTGACCTTACCTCAGCTCAGGAATTATACAAGCAAACTAACTTCAGCAAGTGAGAAAACACTGAAAATTTCAAGACTGTATGCCAGTTCTCTTAACCTTTTTTCATCTCTAATACCCCTTTCCCACTGGCCGAAAAACCTGTTTGAACCGGGAAATAAACGGCTTTTAGTGGCAGTGGGAACAGCTCACTGATGCGCACCGACCCGGGTCAAACGAATCGGCAAGCGACCCGCGTTAAAGTCGCCTCGGCTCTGATCAGCATGCTGTAGGACAGTGGTCTCCAACCCTGGTCCTCAAGATCTACTGTCCTACAGATTTTAGATGAATCCCTGCTTCAACACAGCTGAATCAAATGATTGATTACTTTTTCAAGCCATTCATTTGATTCAGCTGTGTTGAAGCAGGGATGCATCTAAAATCTGTAGTACAGTAGATCTTGAGGACCAGGGCTGGAGACCACTGCTGTAGGAAGACCAGACCCAGGCTGACCCGATAAATTACCTGAAACTCTGTTTACTTTCGTTAAACAAGGTGCAGCGCTGGAAAGATAATAGAGTGAAACAATAAAGCACACCGACTATGCTCTGGCTTCCTTATATGTTGCTCTCCACTATTGACTTTTCTGATTTCTGTCACACTGGTGAAATCATCAATGCTAATACAGCGTGATGGTGTCACCAGACATGAAGCAGCGGGGGACGGAGGCCATGCAGCTGACAGTGAGGGGTTAGACCCAGCTTTTTTCGCCACTGGGAGGGGGGCCAAATGCCTACTGTTAACAGTCGACCCATGTTTGAAAAACATAGGTTGACTGTTAACAATAACAAACCTGGTATTTTCAGTGGGAAATAGGCTTAACTAATGTTGATAGGATGAGTATGATGAATCAAAGTCCCAATTCCGGCCAATAAGCTTTCTGGTTATTTCTAGTTGAAAGTAATAGGAAAGGAAAACTTCTTGTCAAAAACTCTTTGTGTTTAAGTGCTGTTTACCTCCATTGGGTCCAGGGTCAGGGTGTCCCAGGCTGATGCCCCCCCAGGAGTTCCCTGTCCAGCCTCTCTCCCTCTTCACCCTCATCCTCCTCCTCTTCTCCCACTCATCCCTCTGTCGCGCTGCAGGAACAGAAGGCAGAGAAATGACTCACTTCCAGTTGCTTGAAGCAGTAAACATTAAAGATACTTTTAGATACTCTCACATTAGGCGTGTAATTACTGTTAACAAATGAGAGATTACAGTGGAAACAAATTGGCAACTTCTCATGCTGCTGGTGCATCAATTTCTTAAAATTAAGACTTCATATCCCCCTGCTGTTTTTTATGCTAGTGGGTTATAAAGAGAGTTTCTAGTGCTTTACACCATTCTTCCTGTTCTAAACTGGCTTGGTTAAAAAAACAAAAGAACAACATTTAAAATCTCAGCTCATTCTCAATGCAGTCAAATGAGGTAAAAAGTCAAATTTCTCAATGTGTGTTTGTTTTTACTTAGTTCCGCCTGAACTTCCTGTTGCTCAGCATCATTCCTTCGGCTGAAGCTCTGCACGGCGCCATCTTTTAGAACCGGAGCATTCAGACCAGGCCACAAGAAACCACCTCGACCTAAAAACACAGAGTAAGTAGGCATATTAAATAATCAAGACAAAACCTGAGGGCAAAGAAAGCAGAACTCCTGTGAGACACAGTGAAAAGAATGAGAGCAAAACCCCTCAACTCATTAGTGAAAAAAGTAGCCAGGAAGTGCAATACATCGGCCAAGACTGGCTCACGGTAAATATTCCAGTGTGGTGTCCATCAGCTGCTTGACAGCATTGGTTAGAGGCAGCTTAAAGTATAGAACCTTTAAAAAAGTTACGAAAACATGAAGCTAGCTTCATTTTAGCATCTGAAAGAACAAATTCACAACCATGGGTCAGGGATGGGATTTTCCTAACACCCACGCAGCCAACCACTGCTATACAAACACCCACACAAACAGAAACAGATGCATGTTCACCTTCTCCAATGATCTGTCCTCGATTGAGGTCTCTCCTCAGTTTGCGTTTGGTTCGCTTCCCTCTGCCCTTTCTGGCTCCAGCGCCGGATTCTGCCAGCACGCCTCGCCACAGTTCCTCAGCTGTCACTTAAAACACAACAACAACAAACAGATGTTAAAAATGTTTATCTTTTCTTCTTGTCATTAAAGAATTAAATAAGTGATCATTGCAGGATATATAATGATATGAAACACAGCACGGAGGTGTTAATATTTAGCTTAGAAATTTTAGTAAATGCTAAGATGCTAACAAAGATTTTAAATCTAAATAAATTTGGAAGTCAAATTAGAATGATGATAGAAAGCTGATTTTTCTTAAAGCCAGGTTCAATTTTAGATTCAAAACATAAAAACTATACAATGACTTCAAGTGTTTATATAATAAAAAAATTATTAAAGGATTATATATTATATAGTGATTTCAGGGAATAATAAAAGACTCTAGGTTGTATCATAAAATTGCAAAAACAATTTAGAGCAAAAGACTAAACAATATTTGATTATGTATAAAGTATTTAAATAATAATTAAAACTATGATGTTAAAATAACTTGAGTATAACTTCAGTACATACCGGTATTATGTTCAGTACTCTAGTATGTTATACTGTTTATTATGAATACTTTTTGTTTCAGATAAAAAAAAAAACTGACTAAGTTTGACAGTTTTTTATGTTTATAATTTTACAATCGCTATATTACCAGGGTATTTGTATTTATACCATGTGGATCTACAGATTTGAGTGCATTTATTAAAATTAAGGACTGACTGCATTGAGTTCAACCAAAAAAGCAAAACTATTTAAGCTCTGACAATGATAGTTTAATTAGCACCTCTAGGCAGTATTTGGGGAATTTTCTAAAAGCAACCTTGGAAAGAAAAAAAATATACATTTCAGGCATTGAAATATATACTCTTTTCTTTTTTTGTAGGTGGATATCAAAGCAGATCTGGTTCAGAACTTTATGTGAATGAACATTGAAACCTTATTAAAAAAAAGAGAAAATTCTAGATTAAAAAAACTCAGAAGAAGCTTCATAATCCTACGAAGGAATACATTTCCTGATCTGAGAGACTGGGTTGATGTATGGTGACAGATTTTGAAGTTTGCATTCGCCTGTGATCAGAAAGCAAAAGATGAGACATGATGACAGTCAGAAGGCTTTTAACTTTTCCAAACCCAGACAAGACTAGAAAAATGGGGGATCTGTTATAAAGGCAGCCAGGATAAAAGGATAAGAAATACCAAAATAGGATTTAATGCTCTGACTGCTCAATATATTATCAATATGAATAATTTTATCAATTAAACTCGATTTCCCAACAAGGACCTGCTGTCATTCATGAGGAAAGTGTCTTTATGCCTTACCTGCAGCAGATGGACAAAATAGTGTTAAACTATGCTTCTGTAAATGTCTTAATCTTTTACTGAATGCTTGTACAACTTTTTATTCAAATGTTAAAATTTATTTCAGTTTAAATAATAAAAGAAAAAAAAAAATAGATTCTCTCTCTGGAGCCTTAAATTCAGTAGTTTAATTTAGGGCTGACACAAATAATGGGATTAATCTTGATTAAACGATGATTGAAATAATCATCAACTACTTCAGTAATCAATTAATAGTTAACTGGAGTATAGAGACTCTAAAACATGTCTTTAGCTGACAACATTTTGCATTTAAGTCTGTCAATATGCTCTATCCAGATCTCCTCAAGATGAAAAGTAAGAGTTTCACCTGGTTTAATTTCGTGAAAACTGTTCCTTAAAGAACCTTTGGCCCTCCGATTATTAATCGAAGAAATTATCAACAGATTAATCTATTAGCAAATTGTTAGTTGCAGCCCTAGTTTAATTATATGGTTGCTTTGAACTGCAGCATAAAAGGTAAACACAGGTTTTTGTTAAATAATAATAAATAGCTTTTTGTGAGAATGTGTTTATGTACCAATATGAGTCTCTTGGATTTTTTTGTTTTAAAATTACTGTCTTCCTGGTTAAATGTGATAGTTTTTGGTCAGCATAATCCTGTTTTTATTTTTGCTGCAGCTTTGTTAATTATTTATTTGTTCATGTGTATTATGAATGTTTTTGCTCAAAGTTTGATCTATTTCTGATTGTTATTTTATTCAGCTTCATTTAAAAAACATGCAAACTTATTAATATGCTTTCTTTTTTGTTTTTAGTTCATGTACATAGCTGTGACACATTGAATGCCTTTTGAATATTTTAAATTTTAGAAATTTGTGTTGGTTGCATTTCACTATTTTAAGTGTTTAAAGACAGTACAGTGGCAATAGTGGGTGAGGGTTGATCCAGTAGCCGTTAGAGGTTTGAGACCCTGTTATGTCTGTTGTTGTGTTAATGAGCAAGACATTTCCTCCTCCTTGCCTGCTTTTGGTTGCACAGGTTGCATGGAAGCCTTGCTTCTGTCAGTCTGCCCTAGGGCAGCTGTCGTTTACAATTTTTACTTGTAGCGTTGATGGAATGTGTGCATGAATTACTAAATGTAAAGTACTTTGGAACGCTTTAACTTAAAGAAGCACTAAATAGTAGTTCCTGACCGATTAATCGGCGGGCGGATTTTAGCATCTGGCTCATTAATTGACATCGACCAAAATGTGGCCAATAAAAAAAGAAATTTAAATTTTGCTGCAAACAGCTGAAAGAAACTTCGGCTGGGTGCTGATTCTGCTCCTCTGCCCTATCCTTTCCTGAGAGCTGAGCTGCTTCGTGCCACTCCTCCTCTCAGTGAGCTCTCTCTGCACCTCCCCTCTCCACAAACAAACACACACAGCTGCAGCTAGCGTTAGCATGGAGTTGGATAAAGAGCAAGAAATATGAATTTTACTCCATGGTAAGCTGTGATTTTGTAAAACTACACTTAAGTGTCCCATGACAATGAGTCTTAAAAATGAATCAATTATATTTTTGGTTATTATGAGAACTTAAGTTTGGACTATAGTTGAACAACGCATATTGTGCATGTTCAGTTGTTTTTTAAATATTGTGGGCGATATATATCAGATATCGTCCAATATATAGGATATCGGCCTTTTAAAGCCCATATAACGATATCCGCCATCAAAACCCATATCGGTCAAGCTCTACTAAATAGGTACAGCTCATTACCAAAAACAAACGTGTATCTGAAGATGTAGGTAACAACAGTACAGCAGCAGGACAGAAGTACTGATTTAATGAGAATCATTCTTTTTTAAAGACATGTATACTTTATAAATCAAAATGAAACTTCAGCTATTTGTCCTTTAAAAGGAAAAGAGTTTTAAAGACAAAAATGGCTTTTACTCACATTTGTTGAAGAAACTGCCATGTCTGCTCTGCTGCCAGGTTGTTGATGGGTTGGACAGAAACTCTGGGCGCCTCTGTAGTGAGGCTGCTGAGGCTCGACAGGCCAAGTGAGAGATCTGAACAGCTCCCACTGAAGCACGGAGTGATGCTGCGCCTGACAGACAAAAATAGAACATACACACACATACCACCTGTAAACTGTCCTTTTTAACTTTGAAGCAGTGGATCTGAAAAGCGAACAAAACCATAGCTGAAGTAATGGGTTTCTGGGACCTTAAAAAGATCCAACAGTTTACACAAAAACTTCTCTGACTTCAATGTAGATATAGATATTTTAAAAAATCAACTAAAAAGTAAAATGTGAAGTTTAGCGATGCAAAAAAATCTGTTTATGTGCAAGTAAGGAATTTCACAATTAAGAAAAACCAGCCACCCGGCCCTGTGTGTGTCCACTAGTGATTGTAGCTTGTTTGTTTTTTGTACAGATGAGTTATGACCTAGAAAATATTGTCAAAAGTGTGTCCAGCAACACCAAGTAGGCAAAAAAAATCAAATCACGAATCACTGATCAAATCACAAATGGGAACGCATGAGAACCAAGATTTATACTGAAGAAGAATGCCGTCATTCCTAAGGCTTTAGGCCTTGTGACTCTAGTAAAGAACCATCAGAGACATAATACCAAAATGGAGTAAAAAGAAGTAATCCATCAAAAGGACTGAAGGCCAACCAGAATTACTCCAAGAGCCCGTGAAAAGTTTATCCAGGAAGTCCTAAAGAACCCATAACTGCATGTGAGGCACTGAAGGCATCAGTTAAGGTTGGTGTTTACAACTCAGCAATAAGAAAAACTGAAGACAAAAGTGTTTTAAGGAGAATTTCAAGGTCAAATACTTTAGTTAAATTATATATATGTATATATATACATACATGGATATTTTGGGGAAAATATTCTGTGGGCTAGTGTGAATAAAGTTGAGTTTTTGTGTAGTTATCTATCACATTACATATGCTGTAAAACTGAAAGCATTAGAAAAACAGGACATATAGTGTGATGGTCTGAAACCATGTAGCTAGTTTAAGCTTATGTACTTGAATATGTAATTGTACAAATGTATGAATTCTGCTCTCAAACTACAGATCCCAAACAAGAATATCTCACCACAAATACAACGGCATAATTCAAGTCTTTTTTTTAATTAACACTGGTCCACCTCAAATAAACGTTTGATGATCTGAAAGAGCAACGAATAACCGAAAAGTGCTTTCAATTCATGAAAACTTTGTGTTTAAGCCTTTAGACTTTTTTAATATTACATTGCATGTTTTTTTTCATCTAACAATACTAATTTGACAGACTGATAATGTTTTAAATGGCTAGTGTAAAGCTTGTAAAACAGTGAAAATGTGCTGTCTCCTCTAAATAACCTAAGACAGCCTTTTATTTCTACTGTCCCTTTTTTCGTATAAATAACAAAAATGTACAATGAAAGACTATTATTGACCCATTTTTTACAGTTTTGTTTTAAACGTATGGCAATTATTCCCTATTAATGTTTAGTAAGATCTTTAAGAAGAAACACGGAAGAGAAACCCTAGAGTCACATAAGGTTTGCGTTGACTGGAGTCAGTTAGCAGTTCTGGCGCATATTACTTCTAATAAAGACGCGCTGACAATATTTAACACCAACTACAGATGAAAGTAAAACGCATTAACGTCATTATAAGAGCAATGCATATTTGCGACATCTCTAAGTGTTGCCTGTTTACGGCACTGCAAATAGCCGGGATGGGCTTTTTAAGGGTCAGCACAAACAAGAGACAGGAATAACACAAATACGCCTCTCAAAGAACATTTACTACAAACCCAGACACAAACTTTACTGAAACATTAAATCTAGAGAACATAAAGTAGTGAAATAACTCACCTCCGAGTGTGATGCGGAGGGCACTGCACACCCATACGGACGCCGCCATGTTGGACAACGGGTCCTTCAGAAGTCAATAAGCTGACTGTGTAGCTGCCTGTTCAAATAAAAAAAAAATAAATAAAATCATGTATTAATATGATTATAATAAGGGGGGCCACTGCCGAAGGCATGGCCCACCTATTACTACTGCACATAGTTATTATTATAATTAAAATAATTATTTTTAATAACAACAACAACATAATAATAATAATAATAATTAGAATAATAATAATAACACTACTACTACTAATAATAATGATTATTATTATTATCATTATTATTATTAATGTTATATAAGTAGTAAGTAATTATCTCTAACTTTAGTTGACCTACTCTTTGCCAGTTTTATGACACTGAACAAATGAAACTTCGTACAAGTGTTCAGTAATGCAAGTTTACCTATAATAGGTTTCTAAAACGGAAGAAATAAAATATTGCTAATCAAATTGAGTCATGTGATAAAATGTATACAATAGCAACAATACTAATAGAGTCATGTAATATAATTTAAATAAAAGTAATAATACTAATAATTTTTTTGATAAGGCAAAAAAAAGAAACCTAGAATATAGAATCTTTGAAGTTTAAACCAACTGTGCACTACTTTAAAAAATACAGTTATCGATTGATATTTAAAATATGTCTTTATGTGTTAAAGTATAAAGTTCCAGCACAAAAAATACTGAGATGAGTTTAAAAAGAGACCTGTCTGTATTAGTTGGATTTTTTTTATTCCACAACACATGGTTTCGAAATAAAACGTAGAATAAAACTAAGACTTTTGCTCTTATTCCAGTAGGTAGTGAAAGTCACAATCAATAAATTTTGTTTCACTCATTCTGTAAACTATGTGTGGATATTGTTGATAAGGATGGGATTTTTATACCTTTATACAATTATTTCACTATTTAAAAAATAACATTATTTGAGTAAAAGTATAAAATGACCCCAAAAAAGGTATTTTTTTTATGTAGATTTGTTTTATAAAGACTACAATTGTTGTGTAGGAGTGCACCCTCCTGAGTAGATTACATGTCTGAAATATAGATTAACCTTCTAGGGCCAAATTACAAAGGTAAGAGCAATGTATTTAAATATTCATTTATCTGGCCTTTAACAGTGTTCTTTTAATCCTTATTTTGTCATTTTATTGCTTACAGTAATTTTCTGTTAATGACCAGTCAATACCTACTTTTAGCTTTGTTTGTAATTCCAGAGAACAGCATCGCAGGGTAAAAGTGGCTCCTTGAAAAACTGTTACCATGAATAATTTTCTGATTCACTGAGAAGCTGTGGGTTCTGAGAAGGAAATAATCAGAAGGAAAAAGAGGTAAACAACTGCCAAGAGCTCTCCTGGGGTCTTTTGATTGGCTGAATAAATCATTCAACTCTGCCTATTTTTCTTATTTTTCACTTTAATAATTATAACACTGAGAAGACAGAAATCAAAACAATTAGAAACCGAAGACAAAAAGCAGTAGAAAGGTGAAATAGGTCTTTAAAGCAATTTCTCTGATTTTTTTAAGATTAGTATTTCTATCAGAATCTGTTGTCATGTCTCCTGGTTATTTAATACATATAAGTTATGAAGTGTTATTTAAAGAGTTTGTCCTGAGTGATCTCTTTTCAGGGAAAAGAACCAGAGAGATAGAGCATCAAGGTGCATCCACAGAGCCTATCTTTAAAGAGAAACAGAAAAAAAGAAGAGCAAGAGTGCTGACTGTTAAAAGGCAGGATAGTGAAATTATGGGAGCAGAATAAAAATAAATGGAGATGCTGATGATGCAGCCTTATCTGCTAGAATAATAGCTGTATGATGAGGATTAACTTGAACAGTAAGCATTGTTTTAAATGTTTAATTTAGCTCAGACCAAAGGTTAATGAATGGAATTCACAGTGATGAGTATGTTTTTTTTATTTCTAGGATAGGAAAAACTAAGGACTAATGTCTAAGGAAAATTGCCTCATATATACACTACCAGTCAAAAGTGCACAAACCATCTGGTTTAGTAGTTTGTCTTTATTTTCATTACTACCAAAGGAAACTGCTTCAAACTGTGGAAAACTGTTTCGGTTGACTCATTAGCTCTATTTAAATCGGCATAATTGGAATAAATGCCTAATCAAACTTAGAATGTGGTATGTAAACATTCCAGTTGGAATATTCTGATGGGATTCACTAGGACTGGAATTAAATTTTAATGGAAGGAGGGCATCTGAATATTCCAATTGTCATGTTTACATGACACATTTTTAATTCAGTCAGCCATTTTAATCTGATTACGTATGTTCATGTGTCCATGAAATAACATTATATATGTTATTTTTTAATCCAAACAAATCTGAAGTTGTTAATATCAACATAGCTATTGAGTGAATGCCTATCGTGTCCAAAGGAACTATAAAAAAGGTGGCATTTTAAAGAATCTAAAATAAAAATTTTATTTGTTTGCTAAGAATTTGTATACCCTTGTCTCAAATTTTTGACGTATTTACTCTGTATATATCTAGAAAGAAAAAGAAAGTTAGCAAAAGTCACTGACTGACCAGACTAGTATGCACAACACGCAAATGTTTATAGCCCATTGAAATATTTTTTTATATTTTGGCCTGTCACAACCAGAAATGTGATCGACGACAGAAAGGAATACACAGCTAGAGAGTGGAAGAAACTTGAAGCATAAAGTGCATATTTCTCACCCCTTCATATATGCAAAAATTCACAGCATAATACTTCCTTACATAGAAAACCTTTTTAGGAAACACTGTATAACTGAATAGAATTAAATCTTTGTATAAATACAACAGTTATATCAATATAGCTGAGTTTTTTTAGAGAATATCAGTGAATAAACAGCATCATAAAAACCAAAAAACACTGGAAGCAGCTCTATGATAAAGCTGTTGAAAAAAAGTCCAGTGTTTTTAACTTTTACCAGAGTAAAATGTAAAACCAATATCCCAAGCTTTGAACATCTATGTAAAACTACTCCTTCAACATCTGAAAATGAAAAAAAGATTACAAGATTGCTAACCTACCAAGCTATTCATAGACTGACTGATCAGGCAAGGCAATAAGTTACAGCAATTCCCAGGTTAGATAATCTGTAAACATGACAATTATTAGTCTGCACCTTAAGGAAGAGTGAAAAACAAAAACAAAAAAACAACTGTGTTTGTAAAAAAAAAAACAAAAAACAAATATGGTAATAATGAACATAGATTATTTTAGCAAATGTGCATAATGCTACATTCAGTAAAAAAGTGACACTGGATAGTGATAAACATACTATCTCGTGTTTCTCACTGTTTAGTGGTGATTGACAGATCAACCCTATGGGTAAGAATGGCCTGGCTGAACCATGTTTTGGTCACTATTTAGATGCACTAATAATGCTGACTTGTTGAGAATTGTTCTGAATACTTTTACTGCGAAAAGCATTACATATAATTATCGTAAATATTATACTGTAAGTTGGAGGAGTTCCATTACCATTACAAAAGCAGTAAGAAATCAAAGACAAGTTGATTGCACACAGCCAGCTAAGCCTGATTCAGGGCTTGGCATTGAAATAGTTTAGACAAAATAACTGTATCAAATGATTGCTCCTTCTCTTCTAGTGTTCAATATATCTGTGTAAATAATGAAATAAGCGTATCTAACAAGGGGAAACAGTGAGTGCCAATTTGATGGATCATTCACACATGTCCGCTGGGAGTTCCAGCTGTTTTCATATTCACATTGAAAGCACACAGCGGACCACCAATCAGCACTTCTTACCTTCGGTGATTGCCATGCAACAGAGTGACTGTTATGCACTGTGCCTCAGTTACACCTTATTAAGGACAATTTCTACAATATAACAATCCTATTTTCATCTACCATTTAGCTCTGCAATCAAAGAGCCACTGAAGTACGAAAAGTCCCCCCAGCTGTGTGGCAGCAGGAGGCTGAAGCTGCTACTGAAGGAACTGGGGACTTGCTGGAACTTTTCACTAAAATAATTGCCCCATAATGACAGAGTCATCCAGGCTTTATGTAAAAGAATGAGTCACTTTTCTTGGCTGTGCAGATGTTAGAGGGAACAGTTTTTTTTTTTTTCTATCACACTGCCGCAGCTCCTGGATATTAGCAGTTTGAAGTACTGCTCTGTGTCTGTAGTTAAATTTGCCTACGGCTTCATCTGAAATGATTATTTCAGACCTGAATGAACCAATACTTGTTTTATTTTTATTATTAGCTTAATCATTTTTACCTAATCTTTTAGCTAAGAGAAAAGGAACATGATAGAATTGAATAGAATACAGCAAAAATTGGGGGAGTGTTGGCCTAGTGGTTAGAGAAGTGCGCTTGTGCTCTGAGAAGGTTGCAAGTATCTAGTTCAATCCCCACAGCCTGCACTCTGGGTTCCTGAGCAAGACCCTTAACCCCACACTGCTCCCGGGGGGTCCCAAAGTGGCAGCCCTGTGCTTCCCAAGGGGATGGGTTAAATGCAGAGGTAAATTTCTCCAATGTGAGATCAATAAATTTCAATAATAGTGACTTTATTGTACCACTGTCGCAAAATGTACGTGTGACAGTGGTAAAATTAAGGATAACATGGACACTAGGCTAAATAGATAAATAAATACATCCTCCTCTTCCTCCTTTTGTCACCTTCTTCTCTTTGAGTATTGAGCCAGTGTAACAAGTTAATTTCTTCACTGTGAGACCAATAAAGTAAATAAATCAATTAGTAAAATGAAAAGAACAAAATTTTAGAAAGCTAAAACAAATAAACTTTTTTTCCCTGAATCGTAAAAATAATGTTCAATTTGTAATAAAAAAAGCAGCCTATGTTAGCATGAAAATGAGAAATGCTCAATTTAAAAATAAAAAAATATATGCAGAACTATATTAAGACTCTAAAACACAATATAAAGAAACATTAAAACATATTTTGATGAATTTTAAATGAATACAACTAAAAATTTGTAACCCAATGTCCTGAATGTTGCCCCAGTCAACTTTTGTACACAAAA